CCCCCCCCCAAAAAAAAAGAAACCTAGTTGGTGCCAGTAGCTCATACCTATAATCTTAGCTACTCTGGAAGCTGAGATCCAAAGAATCATGGTTCAATGCCAGCCCAGATAGAAAACTCCATCTCCAAAATAACCAGCCAAAAGCTGAACTGGAGATGTGGTTCAAGTGATAGAGTGCCAGCCTAGCTTGCACAAGGCCTTGAGTTGAAATCCCTTTGCTGGAAAAAAATCATAACATACATGGTAAATATATGCTATTTTATGTTGATTAAAATTTAGAAACATATATAAGTAAAATATATATTGTGGTAAAATGGATATGACACAAATTTTACCATTTTAACTAGTTCTAAGTTCAGTGCCACTGTGCATTTGCAATATTGTGCCCCAAACCTTTTCTTCATCCTCAACCAACTGTACATATCCCTCCTTTTCCTCTTCTTACCCCCAGGAAACCCATTTTACTTTTTGACTGTATGTTTGGAGCACCTTATGTAAGCATAGACACACATCTGTATTTCTGAGTTTGGTTTCTTTAATATCATGATGTCTTCCAGGATCATTTATATAGCATCATGTATCAGGAAAGTCTTCTGTTTAAGGCTGCATAATATTCTACTGCATGTGACTATCACATTTTTCTTCTCTACTGTTTCAAGCGAGAAAAATGGAATCAAGTGACTTCCAGGAATCCTGGATAGCTTTTGAAACCTTTCAACTGCAAACTTGCTTTTCTTCTGTTCTTACCTGGCTTTCTTACTCATGGCTAGTATTCTATAACTTGAGCCATGCCTCCCACATAGCATTTTGATGGTTAATTGGAGATTCTCACAGATTTGTCTGCTGGTGCTAGCTTTGTACTGTGATCCTCAGATCTTAGCCTCCTGAGTAGTTAGGATTACAGGTGAGAGCCACCAACACCTGGCTACAATGGCTACAATTCAGTCTTTCACTCTGTTTTACTGGGGACCTGAAAAAAATCTGTATGAAAGTAGTGGGACTATCAACTCTGGGATTTTGTTCATCAAAATCCTATTTAAAGCGGGGTGTTGGTGGCTCATGCCTGTAATCCCAGCTACTCGGGTGGCTGAGCTCTGAGGAACACAGTTCAAAGCAATCCCAGGTAGGAAAGTTTGTGAGACTCTTATCTCAAATTAATCACCAGAAAACTAGGTTGATCTTGAGAGAATTGTATTTCTTCTTTTTGCTTATGTGGTGCTGAGGAATCGAACCCAGGGCCTCAGGCATGCAAGGCAAGCGCTCTACCACTGAGCCACCTTCCCAGCCCTGAGAATGTATTTCTAAAGGGTTCCTGCTTAGTTACATTTTAGGTACATACATCTTTTCCCTGAGCACTTTAATTAAGACAGCCTATTAGAAGCTCCTTGAATTTGAGTTGCATCCTGTTCTTTAAGTCACATCCATTTGCAGATTCTGACCCTGAACTCAGCCATTGCAAGCAGAGGGGCAGGGCCTGCTGGATTACCGATAGAAAGGAAGCAGCCCGCCTGGCTCTGTTTGCTTACCTACCAAATTTTTGGCTAATAATGCACCCTTCTGCAGAAGTAAACTTTGCTTTGCCAAGTTCCTTTCAAGTTGGTGTCCTTTTTCTTATGTGACACCCCAACATCCTGAGCTATTTCTAACACTGTTAGTTTGTACTATTAGTGCTGTGCATGTAGTACACACACACACACACACACACACACACGCACACAGAGCTGCTCCTACCTTTCCTATGTATGTATGTTTATATTAATGTATGATCTACATATATCTATCATGTGTATCATGCATGCAGACATCTATCATAATCCTATCTATCAGTTATCTCTAGCATGCCTAATTCTATCACTTATCTATCAAATCTATCATTTGTCCTCATGCATATCTTATCATCATGCATAGCTATCATACGTATCTTTTGACCTATCTTTCTATTTGTCTATCTGGAGGATGATTTAGGGGAATCCGCCACTCACACATCAATGTGTGATTGCTAGTCTGACTGCTGCAGGCGCCGGGACTGAAGGGCAGAGCTCAAGCTTCTGTGTAGGCTCTACAGGCTACAGGCTCTACAGGATGTGCTGTCCTTTGAACCTCCTTCACCTCTATTATTCAAAGTCTATGGGGCTTACAGATCATTTGCATCTAAAAAAAAACCTTTGTGGTGATGGGATGACTGGCATTTGACTGTGCATCTGGGAACTGTGGCTCAGTCAAGACCATAAGAAGGTTAATCCTTTGCAGCAGGTAAAAGTGATTGGCTCACTAGGTGCCAGTGGCTGAGATCTGAGGATCATGGTTTGAAGCCAGCCCAGGCAGGAAAGTCAGTGAGACTCATCGCCAGTAATACTCAGTAAAGCCTGGAAATGGCTCTGTGGCTCAAAAGGTAGAGTGCTAGCCTTGAGCAGAAGCAGCCCAGGGACAGTCAGTGGTCATCAGGTCCCTCGGACAGCACCAAGTTCTCTGGGGCCTGTGTTCCTGCAAGTCTAGAGATGGAGATGACAGCAGTTTTCTTCTCCCACTTCTCACATTGGTGTCATTCTTCTAGAATCTTCCATTTGCAAAGACACTGCAGACCCTGCCTTTATCTTTCGAGATGTGATGACAGATTTCAGTGGCATTAGAACAACATTCTCCTTCTGCAGTAAGATGCCACCCTGTCTATCCACACAGTTGGAGAGCTGCTGCTGCTGCTGCTTGCTTCTGGTCCCTCCTCCTTCAAAATTACAAAAGTCCATGTACATGTGAAAAGTGTATCACTGGAGGTTTCTGGGGCTCCTTCAAACTAGGAATCAACCTATAGTGGGTCCATAAGCTAGGTGCGTCTCACTGAGTTCTGTGTAGCTCAAGGGTCTTGGACATGGTCAGAAGCGGCCTATAGCTTCAGGGCTACCAATCAGTGTGGCTGCAAGCCTGGAGCACAGGTACTCCAGTGGAGCCAGGGGCCCAGAGGCTGCAGAGGCAGCAGGCAGAGGCCAGTCCCCCAGTCCTTGGATTTCCTGGGGATTCAGATCTTGAGAACAGGACCAAACAGCAGAAGGAATGGCCTTTCAGAGACAAGGCTGGGGAGTGAGGAAAACATAGGCAAGATCTCAACATTCAGCCCTGACTGAGATTTAGAAATGGACAGGAACATTAGGTAAATAAGAACAGCCCACTGTAAAGGCTGACACAGAACTAATGGCAGAGTGGCCAGGAGCGTAGTAGGTTGGCAGGACCCCAAGGTGAAAGGTCACAACTGATGTTGGTGCTGTCCACAGGTGTAGGAAGGGGTCAGTCTCACCTTGGGTATTCACCTTGGTGGGATGTTTGTTAATGGCAATGAAAGGTTTGGCTCAGTCCTCAACATACACCAAACATTCAGCACTGTCTACTGGAAGCCAAGAGTACAAGAGTCCCTTCTTATTGGTAAGGATCTCTGCCTGAAATGAGAGACTAGCTCCAACCTGATCTGTGTGATTTCCAAGCTTCTGGAAGAGCAGAGACTTTAGTTTTCATGTCGTGTCATTTGTTGAGACAATGTCCTCTGGAGGGTGAAGCTTTGGGCCTCAGCCACCTCATGCTCCAGCCCTGCCATGTTTGTCCCTACTGCAAGCTGGGCCTTTATCTCCTGCAGGTATAGCTCCTTCCATTCCACCTGCTCTGGGGATACCGTTGGAGCTCTCAGAGCTGTGAGAATCCCCAGATTTGTGCAGGTTCTCTGTGCCCAAGAATGTTTGCACATTGTTATAGTTAAGCCTTGTTTAATAACTAGACAATCCTGTCACCTTCCTGTTTCCCAGTGTCTGCTTCAATCCTGCTATCATGTTTAGAACAAAGCAAATGTGAACATGTGTTGAATGCTTGAACTCAAGATTGACTTAGGACATGGCCTCTCACCAGAGTGAGTCTTCAGAGGGGAATTCATCTTGCTTTCCAGAACTTTCTACAGGGAAACTGTCCTGGGGAAGTGGTGATATAATGCCTGCTACTAAGAGATTGCTGATGGAGCTCCCTATAGATCTTCTGTCTACTGTTAGCCCTCACCCCAAGTTCTGCTTGTTAAGTAATTGAGCAAAATGGTAGGATGCAACTACTTCAGTTTGAAATAGGACAAGGCAATGCCATTAGTAATGAAGGGAAGGGGAGAGGAAGAATCTTCTCTTTATTGATTAATAAGCAAAACCTACTCCAGAAGACCACCTACAATTCTAGAGAAGGTGTTTTTAATGAAAGCTTAAAAAATTTCAAGTCTCTGGCAAAGCTAATTCAAATTCAGCCATAAATCCCACTGATTTAAATAGTTCTGGTGGTTTCTAAGGCCCTGGCTCACAGCCCACTCATTCTTTGGAACAGAAGCTTTGGAGCCTTCCTTTGGTTGACATGTGATACCATTTAGTGAACTATTGCCCTGATCACACATGATTATGTCCATATAATCTCATGGTAGATCTGAGATTTAGTAGGGGGAGTAGAAAATGTTGGAAATTCTCAGACCACCGCTTAGTTGGAAAATGATTGATGTGAATAATTTAAGTTTTACTTACATACCTCAGTGGGTGCCAAATTGGTTAAAAAAAAAAAACCAGACAGTACCTTCTCAAGTTAAAATGGGAGAGATGGACTAATTCAGAACAGCAAGTAGTCAACTGTAAAGACCTTAATTATGTCAGTGAGGATGAAAATATGTGGCTGATACTGCTACACATTATTTAGGACCTCCTCTGAGAGCCTCATAAGTTTGGAGTTATTTTTCTAAGAGTTGATGGATTTATGGTTTACCCCTAAGCTGAACTAATCTCCATGGATACCAGGAAAGTCCATGTGAGCTGAGGGTTGGGGTGAGGCTGGGATGGGATGGGAATGGGAAAAAAAAATCAGTATCCTCTCTCCATGGAATTAGTGTCCTTAACACCAGCGACTCAGCTTGGAGAACATAGTGTCACTCTGAAGTATACAACAACAAAGAACCAACCCACAAAATCCCAAGAAATGTAAACTCTGGTAATCTAGTAATGGCTTTAAATGATTTGCTAAGGGAAAGGAAAAGAGTAAGAAAAAAGGAAGGTGGATAGGGGAAAGAAAAAGAAAGTTCCAGGGGAAAGTGCTGTTGTTTTCTGGATATTCCTTCATCTTTCTTCAGCAGCTGAGCACTAAACTGATCACCAATGAAAAGGACTAAAAAACTGTGTGTGTGTGTGTGTGTGTGTGTGTGTGTGTGTGTGTGTGTGTGTGTGTGTGTGTTGGTACTGGGGTTTGGACTCAGGGCCTCACGTGCTGGGTTGACTTTTTTGTTCAATGCCAGTGCTCTACCACTTGAACTTGAGCTCCACTTATCTCCCTCCCTATCCTCTCTCTCTGTGTGTCTTTCTTTCTTCTGCTTAATTGGAGAAAAGGGCCTCACAGCCTCACAGACTTCTGCCTGGGCTGGCTTTATACCATGATCCTCAGATCTCAGTCTCCTGAGTAGCTAGGACTGTAGTTATGAGACAACAACACATGCCTATAAAACTTTAAAACAAACAAACTTCTTTCCATTTTTGTGTCATAAAATGAGGTGAAGAAGATTCTGATAAAGTCTTAATATTCTAGCTTCTCAAGGTAATGCAGAAAATCCTTCAGGAGCTTGATCTTCCTGAAGGAGATAACTAGCTTACTAGTAAAGACTTCAAATTACCATCCTAGGGTGGAAAGAAGGAGCAAGGAGGGTTCTATCTTATCTAAAAGAGCAGGAGCAGGACATGGAGTGATCTTAGTGTGTACTTCTGTTAAGAAAAAAAAAACAACCAACACACTTACAACCACAAAGTCATTCTCTTATTGGACAGGTAAATAAGAATAACAAGTGTCAGTTTTATTCACAAGTTTTTAAAAAGTCTTACAAAATTATTTGTATTGGAAAATTTACAAACAGATAAATTCCAGTATGCAAACTAATCATAAAACCTAAATTGATTCAAACTATTCCCAAAGCAATGAGTTAGTTTTTCCTTCCCTTTTGTCTTCACTAACAACACTGAACCTAAGTGACAGCAACATGAATGTTTTATCTAAAGTAAAAAAATCTCTATTGAAAAATATATTCCATATATACAAAATTGGGGGGGAGGGGGAAATGCAACTTTACTAGGTTGCTTTAGAAATCCTTGTCTCTTCCTCATTAATGGCTTCTTCAGTGTGAGGAGCAGTTCCACATGCATGAGCATCTCAAGTAGGTTTCTTGACAGCAGCCCAAGTTGGGCTTCCTGGGCTGAGCTGGGCTTGTTGGGTGTTCCAGCAACAGTGTAACTGCAGTACGAGGTTTTCCTCAAGTGTTTATAAATGTATAATACATAGATGGAGAGTAAGTAGGTGGTGGTAACACATTTCTATGTTGATACACATAACTTGGACTTTTTCAAAGTCAGTATCAAATGAAATCCATTTTTAATCCTGTTCATTTCTCTACTGATCCAGAATGATGCTTCAGGGTATGAGGCCAAAGTGTCACTCTTAACAGCCTGTGTGTCTTTGTTTGCCATGGCCCGATGTAGGGAAACTATGTTCAGTTATGCAAATGCTATCTCTCTGTCATATCAATGGAGGCAGATATATGTGAGTTATAATACAAGCCACTGAGAGAAACCTAGCTTGCATTGTCATAGATGTTACCTGTCATGGCCTCAATGTTTTATTTGAGTTACTCAAAGGACATTCCCCCAGGAGTTGTAACATAACAAAGTTTAAGGACCATTGGCTTATGCTGGAAACAGAAAAAAAAAAAGCAAATCATGTTTTTCTTGAGCACTAGGTAGACCTAATCAATGTAGATTTCCTTGGACCACTCTGATTACCCATTTCAAGTAAAAGAATTGAAGTTGTAATAAGCTCCAGGAGCAAATGAGTTAGAACTTAGAATTATTAATATAGAAGTAGCCACAGGAAGAGGTTTGATAAATTCTACTAATGCCTTGCAAAGAATAAGGTAAAACATGACAAGGTATTGTGTCCTATGAAAGAGTAATTTGTGTGTGTGTGTGTGTGCGCATACCAGTCTTGGAGCTTGAACTCAGAGCCTGGGCACTATCCCTGAGCCTGAGTATCAGCTCAAGGCTAGTGTTCTACCACTTAAGGCACAGTTCCACTTCTAGCTTCTTGGTATTTAATTGGAGATAAGAGCTTCATGAAGTTTCCTGCCTGTGCTGGCTTTGATCCTCACAAAGCTCAGCCTCCTGAGTAGCTAGGATTACAGATGTGAGCCACCAGCACCAGGTAAAACAGTAATTTTAACATTCAGTTTAAATGTTGGTAAAAGACTTTGAATTAGGTGGGGCTATTTCAATGCAACTATCTTAGTGAATTCTATCAAGTGCAAGTTCAAAGGTCAAAGTTCAAAGTATAACTGTGACAGAATAATAGTAAGCAATTAAAAGTCAAAGGCTAAATCTGATCATGTAGGCTCAAAGAGGGGGGAAAAATCTGCTCAGTGAAGTCCTCTTGGGTCTCTAGGTGAAGAACAAGTGGGTCTTACTCTACTTCAGATTAAACTGGGCTCATTTCCTTCTTAGCCCTAAAGATAATTCTAGTGTGTACATAGCAAAGTAGTGGTTAATGGTGAGGGTGAGTTAGGCCTCCCTGACTAGGTAGAAGATGGTGGCCAACACCTGCTCCAACATGTAGAAGGTGGGGATGACTCAGCAAGATGCATGCGCCCTTCATGTCTGTGACCCTAACCTCCATCCAATCAGGAGCCCTTCCACACTCATGCTTAAATGTGAGGGAACCAATCATGAGACTTCCTGCAGCATATGTCCACCTCTCAACCAAAAAGACCAGGAGTATGCCCTAAAGAGGAGGAGGCAAGGACCCTATATAGAAGGCCCTGGGAGAGAGACTGTGGACACTCAGCTCTGGGAACCCTTCCTGTACAGGGAGTACAATTTACTGTTTAAAGCATGTTTATTTGAAAGCAAAAGGAACAGTAAAATGTACTAGAAGGGTTCCCAGAGCCTACTAAATATAGGGACCTTGCTCCTTCTGCCCTTTAAATTCTTTAATTAGTGGAGAAAAGTAACACAAACCCTACATGGTGTCAGTGGAATACATTAATAGAACTCCACGCTTTTTTTTTATTTTGGGTGTTGATCCTTGCACTCAGGGCCTGGGTGTTGTCCTTGAGATTTTTCACTCAAGGCTAGTACTCTACCATTTGTGCCATAGCTCCATTTCTGGCTGTTTTGGTGCTTAATTGGAGACAAAAGTCTCATGAACTTTCCTGTCTAGGCTGGCTTCAAACATTGATCCTCAGATCTTAGCCTCCTGCAAAGCTGAGCCACTGATGCCTGGTGAACCCCAAACCCTGTTATCCACCATCACCAGGCTAAAATAGGAGACTCTGCAGAGTAAACTTATAATATTTGAAGGAGGACATCCTTCCAAGCCAGAGTGGTATTCTCTTGACATTCCACCAAGCCAGACTGGTATTCTCTTGAACAGCAACCACAATGTGAGCTTTTCCTCTTGCTCTCATCCACAGTGTATTCTCAATCAAGACTACCTCAGTGGTAGGGTACTCTTAAATGCTGCAATTCCTAAAGCCTTTAATATAAAGATGCAATGCAAATAAAAGATCACTACATTTATAAATATTGCCCTTCTATAAAAGACATTCTGGGCCTTCTAAGCTATGATCTAGGGGCAGATGCAACGAATACTTCCATGTTGACTGACTGTCACAGGAATATGTTCACTCATGTATCTACAGCTTGTGTGTTACATGGTTTTGACAGCAGGATTGTCCTTTCCCCACCACATTCTCACATTCTGTAACCCAGGTCCTCTTTCCTACCACTGGCAGGTATTCATGAAGCAGAGGCTCTCCTCTGATTCCTGGTTAGGTTAGAGAACTTCATCTGATATGAATTCAAGGTATAAGTTGGTGGTATAAAGTCACTTCTAGCCACAAAGGTTGTCAGGATCTTGTCCAGTAGGATCTTCACCTTGAATCCCATGACACATTAAAACCTAAGGCACAGAATCTGTCATGGACTTGTGGGAAGAGAAGAAGCAATCAGGGGTTGTTTTTGGAAAGAAAATGTCCATGAATGTAGATGCTGTGGACTGTCTGCACTCAGAACACATTTACCATGAGAACAAGCAGGAATACCAGGTTGTGTCTTGGTACTGGTAATTGCATAGGCTGGAAAATCTGTTAGTCTTTGAAGTTAATCATGTGACTTCTGGTTTGGAGAAGGGTTACAAATCAGTCTGGAGTCTGATCTTGCTTTTTGTTGAAGCTTCAGGTCTGGCTCATAAGTAACTGGTTGAAAGGCTTAAAATGTCATCATTTTGGTTCTGATGTATCATCTCTTCCTAGGAGCCACACAGGTCCAGCTGGCTCAGTGTGTAAGCCTCAGATGGGGTGTGTCCTTTGGCACAGACATATAACTTCCACAGCAAGATGAAGGCTACCTCAGGTTTCCTGAAACAGTCACAGAGGTAAGCTTTTAAGACAAGACTTCCATGTTAAAATGACTAAGTGAACACTGCAAAAACTGATTACGAAGAACTATAATTAATTGAGTATGCAAAACTGTAGTTATTAGTTAGATCCATGAGTTAATACTTCATCAACGAGAAGGGAATCTAGCAGAATGCAAATATACCAGTAACCTTGTCCTCTGAGAGTAAGCTAAATGTTCTAATTTCAACACATAGCTGCTCTTATTTGCCAAGTTTACTTAAAAGATGAAACTATAAGCCACAACAATCATGATGACTTAATAACAAATTCTTCTGCTGATTGTCAGTCTCGTTCAGACATTTAAAACTTACTTCTTCAATATGTTAGAAATCACAGTCTTTCACCAAATAAAAAGTGTTGTGTGGCTTTTTCTTTCCTATGTATGTCACCCAATCAGCACCCCAGTGCCTTCCTGAATTCTGAATTCTGTTATAAAGTCAAAAAACCAGAAATTCCTTAGAAGAAGGAACTAGGTTCTCTGTCTTGGAAAATAGCCTGTTAGGAAGAAATGTGAACTTAGTAGTCTGTAAATAAATAAAGCAAGTTGAGTTAAAATACTTGCTGAGCTGGGTGCTGGTGGCTCATGCCTGTAATCCTAGTTACTCAGGAGACAGAGATCTGAAGATCATGGTTCAAAGCCAGCTGGGACAGAAAAGTTTGTGGGAGTCTTATCTCCAAATAATCACTAGAAAACTGGAAGTGGAACTGTACCTCAAGGTGGTAGAGAGTTAACTTTGAGCAGAAGAGCTTAGGAACAGCACCTAGGCCCCAAGTTCAAGCCCCATGATTGGCAAAACAGTAACAACAACAACAACAAAACACTTGGTTGGTCCTTTGATAGAAGACATCCATACCCCATAGAGATTTGTAGTAGCTGTCACTTCCTATTTTCTTTTGAATATTAAAGGTTCATTCACTATATTTCTGATTTATTAAATGCAATAGAAGAGAAAGAACTTTTCAGAAACTAGTAGTCTCTCTTCCTTTTTTTCTCTCCTTTTTCTCTCTCTCCTTTCTTTCTCTTTCTCTTTTTTCTTTCATTCTCTTTGTTCTTTCTTTTTCTTTCCTCTTTCTTTCTCTCTTCTCTCTCTCCCTCCCTTTCTTCCTTCCTTCCCTCCCTCCCTTCTTTCCCTCCACCCTTTCCTTCCTTCCTTCTCTTTCTCTCTCTCTCTCTTTCTTTCTTTCTTTCTCTCCTGGGGCTTAAATGCACGGCCTGGGCACTGTCCCTGAGCTTCTTTTACCCAAGGCTAACACTCTATCACTTGAACCACAGCTCCATTTTTACATTTTGGTAATTTATTGGAGATAAGAGTCTCACAGACTTTCCTACCTGGGCTGGCTTCAAACTGTGATCCTCAGATCTCAGTCTCCTGAGTAGCTAGGATTACAGGTTGAGCCACTAGCGGCCAGCCATAGTCCGTTCTTGGTTGAGACTTACACTCAAGCAATCTTTTGTCTTCTTTATCATTGTGAAAGCTGTACAAACTATGGGATGACTCAAAAATAACATCAGTAAACAATCTTTCATATAAAAAATAGGCCTCAGGTGTATGTGGGTTGTGTTTATTTGCTTAATTTGTTTTATGTATCTCTTCTTCATTTCCTCCATGTGGAGACCAAAACAACATTTTTCTCTCCTTCAAAGCCAACTAGGTTTTTTTTTTCTTCTTCTGCTTCTATAAATTCTCTAGAAACTTTCTTGGGAGTTCAAAAGAAGACAAAAACATGGTACATTTAGATTACTTTGCAGCAGATTATACAAGAAACACACCTGCACTTGCACCATGTTTTGACGTTAGCTGTGTGTGTGATAGCAAAGTCTCATGGAAGCGGGTGGGGGGTGGCAGGGAGTGAGGGGCTGCACATGCAGGAGCATGCGCATGAGCAGTATGTGTCCAGAGCTTTCTCCGCCCCATTCACCCTGCCTCTCCCTTGCCTCTAGCTATGTAGTGTGCCACGAAGCCCGCCCAGCTATGAGCTTGCCCGCTCTGCCTGGCTCCTGTGATATCTTTATGCACAATACTCTGGTACCCTCCATTCACAGCCCGGTTATTTAGAACTGAGTTTAACAACTCTCTTCTCCTCTCCCTCGTCTATGAATGTGTTCTGGGCTTCTTCTTTTATTTACATACTAGATTTATTACATGAGAGGTTAAGGTTGGGAGGATCATGGTTCTAGGATTTTTAAAAAAATCGTGTAAGGCCATTTTCATAGAAAGGGAAGTTTGATACACTGTTTTCAGTCCCTGTCTGGGATGGGATAGGAAAGAAGTGAGACCCTATCCTAAAAATAATGAGTGAGAACCGGGGCTGGAGGCGTGGCTTAGAGATAGCACACCAGTCTAGCAAGTGCAAAGTCCTGAGTTCAAAAATCCCACTACTATCAATAAGAAAAGAAATGAGGAACAACGGAAAACCTCCCCAAGTATCCCCACATTTTGCGGTGGGAACTGAATTAGAACATTCTAGTCTACCACAAACTGGTGCCTTACCTGACAGGAGGGCAGGGTGGCTAACTGCATGGCGTCACCAACCTCCTGACTTAGCTGGCTTTGAGCAGTCAGTGCATCCTGAGCCAGCGTGGAGTCCATGCTTGTATCCTTATATCTGGAGAAGTCAGTAGGTCCTGAAAAGCTTCCAGAATGAGCTGGAAGGAGAACAGCTCCCCCAACTACTTCTTGACTGTTTGAATCCAAAGATACTGAGTTTTCGTTGTCTGGATCAAGGGGACGACATTCCCCAGTCATGTCAGGGTAGGAGTCACACAAGGAGATGTCATCGCCACCCATGGAATTCTGCATCAGGGGCCAAGCGTCGGAATATTCACCACACGTGGACCGGGAAAGGGTCCCAAAGAGAGCCGGCATTGCCTCCCCAAGCGGGGCTGTGCTTCTGAACACACGTAGAGAAGATCTTTGAGTATTTGGTGGCAACAAATGATACAACTTCAATGCAGTGTGTCTGCTATAATCTCAAGTCTTAGAGAGCAACTGGCAGGTAGTACGTCAGACCACTGATGAACAGACAGTAGTGACTTACTATCTTAAGCCTGATTTTCTACATCTGCCATTATTAGTTTCCAAGGTCAAAGCTATTTTCTCCCTCCCTCCCTCCCTCCTTCCTTTCTTCCTTCCTTCCTTCCGTCCCCTCTCCCTCCCTCCCTGCTTGCTTTCTTTCTCCTTCCTTCCTTCCTTCCTTCCTTTCTTTCTTTCTTTCTTTCTTTCTTTCTTTCTGTCTTTCTTTCTTTCTTTCTTTCTTTCTTTCTTTCTTTCTTTCTTTCTTTCTTTCTTTCTCTGTTCCTCCTAGATCTTAGCTAAGTTTCTTTGATGGCTGTTCTAGGACTCTAAAATAGTACATCATCAGTATGCAACATGTTAAACATGACTTCTCAATGACAGAGATGTCATGAATGTAAAACAAAAAATACAAGCTAGGTGTGCACGCTTATAATCCTAGCTATTCAGGTTCTGGTTGAGATCTGGAGGATCATGGTTCAAAGCCAATGTTGGGAGAAAAGTCTGCAAAATTCCATCTCCAAATAACCAACAAAATAAGTTGGGCTAGAGGCATGGCTCAGGTGGTAGAACACCATGCAAACAAGGAAACTGAGCAAGGGTGAGGCCCAAAGTTCAATCCCTACTCCTAGCAACAAAAATAATAAATGAATGAAAGAATAAGCAAACAAACAAGCAAACCAGTAAAAAATATAAACAGTGATACTAGGTATTAGCGAACATGAGAGTCCTTTCTAATTCCTGCCAAAGAATTGTTCCCTTCTTGGCTGGGCACCAGTGGTAATCACACCTGTAATCCTAGCTGCTCAGCAAGCTGAGATCTAAGGATCAAGTTCAAAGCCATCCCTGGCAGGAAAGTCCATAAGACCCTTTTCTCCCATTAACCACCAAAAAGCTGGAAGTGGAGTAGTAACCTTGAACAAAAAGCTTGGACTCAGTGCCCAGGCTCTAAGTCCAAGCTCCAGGAACAGTAAAAACAAAAACAAACCAGGCACTGGTGGCTCAGTCCTGTAATCCTAGCTACTCAGGAAACTGAGATCTGAGGATTGTGATTCAAAGCCAGCTTGGGCAGGAAAGCCCATAAGACTTTTATCTCCAATAACCACCAGAAAACTGGAAGTGGAATTGTGGCCCCAAATGGTAGAGTACTAGCCTTGGGTGAAAAGACTCAGGGACAGCATCCAGGCCCTGAGTTCAAGACAAAACAAAAACAAAAAACAAACAAAAAACCCCAAACCCAAAAAAAACCACAACTGATTGTTTCCCTTCCAATTCCCACAATATCACTAGAAATATCGAAAAAGCACCCCTGTACTTTCCCATGTAAACTGACAGCTCAGTAGAATACATCCCTGAAAAAGCAAATACAAAATGGTTCATCAAATGTGCAGTTACCTCTCATGAGGGGCGGCCTTCGAATGCACCCCACAACCAAGAGCTGAGCGGGGACTACCACAGGCTTCCTCACAGCACAGGGAGGGGATCAGGTGAACAGGCCCTGTGAAAGCCAGCAGAGAGTGAGTTTCAGTCTGAGTCTCTCTCCACAGCACATTGATTAATTACAAGGCCAGCAATAAGTTTATAGTGCAGAGCCCTGGGAGACGCTTCCTTAACTAAATGGCTCAGATTATCCTATCCAGGCCCAGGGTAGAAGGACTCTGTGCTTGCTGATCTGGTACACTGAGAAGGCCAATAATGTCTCCTCTCTTGTATTTCTGAATTTGATCTGAGTTTGATTTCTGAAGCTGATGAGCGTCCTGCAAAATTTCTGTCTGATCTTTTTTACAAACATCCATGTCTGGTGATGTTTGACATCACCAGAAAGATGAAAGAACATTCTCACATTAAGAGACCAGAGAGATTTTAAGAACAAAACTCAGTCATGTTATCTGGGATTTTCTTTCACCATAAAGGGGGAAAATAAGAAAATGTGAGCAGGCACCAGGCTCAGAGGCTCATGCATGCAATCCCTGCTACTCAGGAGGCTGAGACAGGAAGAACATGGTTGGAAGCCAGTCCAGGCAGGAAGGTCTGGGAGACTCGTACAGTTAGAAACAAAAAAAAAAAAAAAAAGCTGAGATGTGTTTCAAGTAGTAGAGCATCAGCCTTGAGTGAAAAAGTGAAAAAGTCCAGTAAGAGAGCCCAGGCCCTGATTTCAAGCCCCAGCGCGCGCGCACACACACACACACACACACACACACACACACACACACACATACACACACTTGCTGCCATTAGAAAGCCATATCCACTGTGATGTATGTGGAGAGATTCTTTTCTGTATCACTCTGGGCCACCCAATGGGCCAAGTCCTTCAGGACTAAACTCACCGTAGGTCTGGGCTGAGTTCTGGTGGCACTTGCAGCAAGCTCTGTGCCCGTAGTTACTGAGTTGAGGTCTGTCAAAACACGACAGCTCAGAACCATTATACTGAATATCTTGTGATCGCAGAGACCCTAAAAGAGGGAAGGAGAGAATTCTGTTAATGGACATAATTGCTCTAACAGGAGCCTGAGTTAACATCATAATATGAACTAGCACTCATCTTGTTTTTTTATTATTTATTTAGTGTTTAACTGGAGATTAGAGTCTCATGGACCTCTCTGCCCAGGCTAGCCTTGAACTGCAGGAAATCCTCAGCTATCAGCTACCCTCGCTAGGATTATAGACGTGAAGCCATCAATGTCTTGCTGCGTTTGTATTTTTTAAAGAAAACAGTTAGCTGTCATTAAATGTTTTTTAGTTTTACACTTTAATATTTTAATGTTTGTTTCAATGACAGTTTCTCCTGATGTTCTGATAACTTCTTGTAAGTTGAAGACAGTTGTACCGTCTAATCAACTGAGCATTGTAGCTTGGCCTTGCCTGCCTCATACCTATGTACCAACATTTCCATTAGGCAGTGGTTGGGCAATACATGCAAATCATGCAATGCAAAGCCTATTATAATGCAGTATTGCATATCTCATACAGTAAAACAAACAAAACCTTAGAAGTTTTACCATTACGGTAAAGCTGACAAACTGTTAGGCTGAATTACGGTAAGGTGAGGACTGTCTGCATTTCTTCTCACATGGAAATGCAAATACAAAAGAAGTGTTAAGAAAGCTCAAAATGAAGCCAAGTACTGGTGGCTCACTCCTGTAATCCGAGCTACTCAGGAGGCTGAGGTTTCAAGATCTCAGTTCAAAGCCAGCCTAGGCAGAAAAGTCCATGAGACTCTTATCTCCAATTAATCACCAAAAAGCCAGAAGTGGAGCTGTGGCTCAAATGGTAGAACGCTAGCCTTGAGCAAAAATAGCTTGGGACAGCATCTAGGCCCTAAGTCTAAGTCCCAGGACACACACACACACACACACACACACACACACAAAATGATCAGCTGTGGCTCAAGTGGTAAAGCAAGAGCTAAGGATCAATGCCCAGGCCTTGAGTTCAAGTTCCAGTACTTGCCCAACAAGAAGAACAGAAACCTATTAAGCAAACAGTCAGCTGTTGGCACTCACAGCTGGGCTTCTTCTCCATGAACTGTCTCTTGCAGTAGATGACACAAAGGATGAGGAGGGCCAGGAGCACTGTGGCCAGCGCACTACAGATCACGGCGGCCAGGGCTGTGTCTCGAGGGCTGGAGGCTGTGGATGCGATTTTCACAAGGTTGACCTTGCTGGTACCTGAAAGGCACAAAAATAGGACCATGGCTACCCCAGAAATGCCAGGTTTATACCAAAGCTCACAGGCCTTGTCAGCAAACAGGCTTCATGTGGCAGAAACAAAAATCCCAAGGAAACCAGCCTGACAGGCTTTAAGATGTTCAAGTACTTTCTTCTTTTAGAAGATCTCTGCAATGCTACATCCCCACCCTGTATGCTAAAATGTGTAAGAAGTGTTCCCACAACACTGTACACCACCTTGCATGTATCAGGAGGTAGAGATGGGCTTTTGATCCACAGAAGCAGAAATCTGGGTCTGCCAGTTTGATTTGTGTATCTGTATGACTTCACATAGCCCTGGGGCCAAGGGGATTGCCAACTCCCCAAAATGGGCACAGGGATAGTCGTTTTCATGACATCTAGTTGCCGCAATATTAATTTGTAACTAAAAGTGCCTCCAATATGCCCTTTAGCTCTTGCTTTTCTCAGGTAGCAGTGTCTACAGAGGAACAAGGAAAATATGCAAGTGTTTTCTTAGGAGTAGGGGTTGGATAACTGGGATTTGAACTCAGATCCTCATGTGTGCTGAACAGGCATGGTGGCATGGTTTCCTAAGACAGGCCTCCAGCTCTTTTCTGCATTGGTTACTTTTGAGATAGAGTCTTATTTTTTTTGCCCAGGACCATGGATTGCACTTGGCCCTATTTTATCCTTTTTACCATAGCTGGAATAGCACATACATACATTCAGCTATTGGTTGAGAAAGGGTCTCACAAACTTTTTTTTCTGGGCTTGGGTGCTTTCCCTGAGTTTCTTTTGCTCAAGGCTAGGTTCTACCAGTTAAGCCACAAATCTACTTCCAGGCCAGCCTTGGACAGCAATCCTCAGATCTCAGCCTCCTGAGTAGCTAAGACTACAGGCATGTCACAGACTTTTTGCTTGGGCTGGCCTCAAACTGTGATCCTCTTGGTCTCAGCCTTCTGAGTAGCTAAGATTACAGGTATGAGCCACAGCACCCAACTTAATAAAGTTTTAACTGTTTTCACTCTTTATGTAAGACAAGGTATTTGGTTACCTCTAAAACCCTCAGGGTCCTGATGGGTAACTGGGCTCTGGAACTGCATTCCTGATCTTTCTTTCTATGTATGGGTTGATGACCATGTTTTCCATAAGCATCTCTCTTATGGAAAATAGGCTTATCATTATTAGCTTTAATTTGTGTACATGTGTGTGTGGGTGTGTGTGTGTGTGCGTGTGCACGCGTGCACATGAGGGGTGAATATTCCAGTCTTAAGGCCTGAAATCAGGGCCTAGGTGCTGTCCCTAAGCTTTTTTTTGCTCTAAGCTAGTGCTCTACTAATTAAGTCACAGCTATAATTCTAGCTTTTTGGTGGTTAATTGGAGGTGAGTCTCATGAACTTTCCTTCTTGGGCTAGCTTTGAACTGTGGGCCTCAGATTTTAGTCTCCTGAGTAGCTAAGATTTACAGAAGTGAGCCACCAGAGCCTGGCTCTAATTGTTATATAGACATAAAGATGGGAGCTATGGGAAACTGGCCTAAGTAGGACCTGGAGCAATGTTCTACATTTTCTGTTCATAGATCATTAAATATATTGAATTCCTGAAAAGAACTGGGCCTCAATCTGTTCAGGCTTCTAACAGTACTTTTAACAACATTCCACTCTTCAGAAACTTTTACCTTTCCTGAATTCAAATGCATGTCTAATTTCAACCAATTCAATCACTGACTTCTCTCAGACTCTTGAATATTGTGCTTCAGCAATTACTTTAAAGAGAAGATTGTCTTCTGAGCTTAAATTTTATACTAAGCTGGAGGCATGGCTCAAGTGGTAGAACCACTAGCCTAACAAGCATGAGGCCTGGCGTGGTTTACTTGTTTTGTGACAAAACTTACTCTGAAGGCCATTATAAAATGTTCAGAATCAGGACCATGGACAGGCAGGGCTGAAGTTAAACGTTAGCCCTATCACATGCTTAACTTTCTCCTCCTTTCCCCTTCCTTTCTCTTCCCCTTTCTTTGCCTCCATTCCCTTCTCCTCCTCTTTCCTTCTCTTTTCTATCTTATGCTCTGTTCTTCCCATATATAAGACATATATATTACATACAGTTCACACACACACATACACATACACACACACACACACACACACACACATGTGAAGGATAATTGGCTCAAACTTTGTGTATAGGAAAATCAATTTTTTTAATCTGCTAGCATATACAATGTGGTTTGGCCTGATTTAAAACATAAATATGGTTGCACAACTTCAACCTGCTTTATCCTTAACATTAAGGAGGCTACTGCCATTTTTACAATGGTGAAAACCAACATAGGAATTTGAAGCTTTTAGTTTTGAGATGTTATTTTTAACATCCGAAAGGTATAATTAGATGAATGTTAAATAAATATAGTATGGAAGATCCAGTTGTAATGGAAATAATTATGCTTTCTGTCTAGGCTCTTTTTTTTTGTCAGTTGTAGGGCTTAAACTCAGGGCCTGGGCGCTGTCCCTGAGCTTTTTTGCTCAAGGCTAGCACTCTACGACTTGGAGCCACAGCTCCACTGCTGGTTTTCTGGTGGTTTATTGGAGATAAGAGTCTCACCGACTTTCCTGCTTGGGATGGCTTTGAACCAGATCCTCAGAGCTCAGCCTCCTGAGTTGCTAGGATTACAGGCGTGAGCCACCAGCGCCTGGTTAGGCTCCCAGTTTAAGATTCCACTAGCACCTGTTTCCATCAGCACTGGGAAATGATACACTAGCTTCCAGCTGTGTAGCCTGTCACTTTGAAAACTCCAGGTTTGTTTGTTGGTGACTGTTTTGTCACAGGCAACCAATGAAAAATTCTAGCCATAAACACACAATTTAGACTTAAAAAAATTCTCACTAGCCAGGCACCACTAGCTCAAGTCTGTGATCCTAGCTACTGAGGAGGCTGAGATCTTAGGATCACAGTCTGAAGCCAGACAGGGCAGGAAAGTCTGTGAGACTCTTATTTCCAGTTAACCACAAACAAACAAACAAACAAACAAACCCAGAAATGGTGCTGTGGCTCAAAGTGGTAGAGTATTAGCCATGAGCAAATAAGCTCAGGGACAGTGCTCAGGCCCTGAGTTCAAGCCCTGGGACTGGCATGTGGAAAGAAAAAAAAAATCTATCTATCTGTCTGTCTGTCCGTCTGTCCGTCTTTTTCTTTCCTCTCCTTCACTAAAGTATTTTAGCTTTCCCAGTTGTTCCAAGCAGTATTCAATCCATCACCTTCTATATTATCCATTATCATCCACACAAAGCCCAGGAAAGGTTTAACAAAATGAAAACCTGCTGATGAATCTTATTTCTAACCACGATTGTTAATAAGAATAAAATTATTAAACAAGTTCTCTACGATCTTAATTGAGACATAGTTCCAGAGGGTAGATTTTATCTTGTTAATCTAAACTGGCTAAATAAAAGTATGTAGAGTAACGTTCAACTTACGAATTCCACATATCCCACAAAGAAATCAGCTAGTAAACAACACAGCTCTTTGTTTTTTTAAATCCACTTTATACCAAATATTCAGACATAGACAGATGTAAAGAAGTAAGTCTTCCTTTGGTGTTATTGTTTCAATAATTGAGAGAGATATTATTAAAATAGGTAAAATTACAAAATGAGATTTTTCTCTTTGTGCCTCAACCTGTAGCCATACCTATTAAAAAATGTGACTGGGTACCTGTGGCTGCACCTGTAATCCTAGCTACTCAGGAGGATGAGATCCTGTCCCTGCGCTTCTTTTTCCTCAAAGCTGGCACTCTACTACTGAGCTACAGCTCTACATCCAGTTTTTTCTGTGATTAACTGGAAATAAGAGTCTCATGCACTATCTTGCCTGAACTGGCTATGAATGGAGATCCTCATATCTCAGACTCCTGAGTAGCTAGGATTATAGGCATGAGCCACTGGTACCTGGTCTTTCTCTCTCTCTCTCTCTTCTTTCTTTCTTTCTCTCGCTCTCTTTCTCTCCTTCTTTTCTTCCTTCCTTCCTTCCTTCCTTCCTTCCTTTCTTCTTTCTTTTTATAGCAGTCCTGGGGTTTGAAGTTCAGGGTCTGGATACTGTCCTTGAGCTTCTTTGCTCAAGGCTAGTGCTCTACTACTTGAGCCACAGTTCCATTTCCAGCTTTTTGGTAGTTAATTGGAATTAAGAGTGTCATGGACTTTCTTGCCCTGGCTGGCTTTGAATTGTGATCCTCAGATCTTAGCTTCCTAAGTAGCTAGAATTATAGGTGTGAGCCACTCCTTTTCTATTCCAAATGGAGTTTTCTTCCCAAGTTAGTATTCCAGATGTTGAAGGTGTTTACCTGTGTGGCTGAATCCCCTTTTGTGACTGAACTAAGTCAAATCGATTTGTCACAAAGAGAATTACCACAGGCCCTGTGCCTTGTCCTTCTTACTGTGTTTATTTTGCAGGAATATTGACAGTAGAACTGGCCAAATATATGTATGAGAAAATACAGATTTCTTCTCTGCCTTCTTTTCTGCTAATTTCTCTCCTCCCTTTTCTGTGTACCAGTTCTGGAAATTGAACTCAGGGCCTGAATCCTGTCCTTGAGCTTTTTGCTCAAGGCTAGCACTCTACCATTGAGCCAGAGCTCCACTTCCAGATTTTTTTTTGGTGATTAATTGGAGATGAGTCTCACCGATTCCTGCTCAGGCTGGCTTTGAACAGTAATCCTCAGATCTCAACCTCTTGAGTAGTTAGGATTACAGGCATGAAGGGCAGTTATCTCCACCCCCTTTTAATATGCTCCTATTTTGTATATGACTTAAATATGCAATGTAATTTCTGTTTAATCTTTACATTTCTATTTACTTATAATTAAGAAGTCCAAACTGCTACTAGATAAAATCTTAACAAATCTAGTTTTGCAGATCTTAACTGGTTTTATAATCATGTGGTAGTCTCTACCCCTTTTACTCCCAAATTACAATCTGTTCCATCATATGGACAGGTAATCTATAA